ATAGGGATGCTCACACGTCCAAAATGTACTGCAGTAGATGTTAAATGCTATTTCGGTCCCTTTTCACCCTGCTACCATGTTGTGATGTTGAAATAAGGTGAGACGGCCACGGCTTGTTTGTGGACCTCCATGTATCTACGGCTGGTAGCTTTATTGCCCTGAGTCCCTCGCGCGCATGCGCTGGGGACTTGAAGATGCATATCTCTACACGATGCACGTATTAGCCACATGGTCAAGCCCATCGTCCATGCGTACAACATGAACGGAAGTGCTTTTGAAACAGTGAACCACCACCCACACCTTGGAGTGCAGATCAGCAAAGACCTCAACTGGGCACGCCACATACATCAAGTCACAAGTAAAGCAAACAAAGTCCTGGGTCTTCTGATGAGAGACATCCACTCATGCAGCAACTCAGTCAAGGAAACAGCCTACAAAACCCTCAGCAGTCCGTAGCTCGAGTACTGCGCATCAATGTGGGATCCTCATCACAACAACATCAAGTTATCTCTTGAGAAAATCCAACGCCGAGCTGCTCGCTTTGTCCAAAATGACTATAGTAGGAAAGCAATTGTCACCAACATGCTGGCAGACCACCGATGGGAACCTCTCAAAAGTTGTCGTACCAAACTTTGCCTGCCTAATCTCCATCTTTAAGGAAGTTCATAATTACTCCGTCAAACGTCAACTGTCTTCTGATAAAATCCACCAGACTGCAAACTGGGCTAAATATTTTAGAAACCCCACCATTCAACAAGAACTGCTACCAGTATACATTCTACCCCCGGACAACTCGTGAATCGAACATCCTCCCAACATTAGAGCTCAACCTGACATCAAATCATTCAAAGAGAGACTGGATCAAATTAATATGGATGAGCTGGTCAAAAAAGCTCATTACAAAATTTAATCACCTCCGCCACACTGACCTATACGTTAAAACCACCATCTGGTGCTTGCATTTAGTATCCAGCAGAAGAAGAAGTCTGGTGAAGCAATCGCCGACTACTTAGCAGCACTACGAGCACTCTCAAATGACTGTCACTGATGTTGGAATCTTGATAAGACAATGCGAGACAGGCTTGTTTGTGGCAGGTTAAACAGATCCAAAAATCCCTCCTAGTCAGGTGTCTCAGACCCAGCTTTTGACAAGATCATGACCGACTGGTCCAAAGCACCGAACTTGGCAGATAGATTCTAATAGCCTTAGAGAAGATATTAAGAAGGAGTGACACCTGACATTCTTTTGGGAAGGGTGCCTTATTTGTCTAAATGATAAATACCTGCCATGTAATATAGTTGCTCCCATAATATTGGGTATATTTTTAAATGCAGGGCTGCCAACTCTCACGCATTGAGCGTGAGAGTCACGCATTTTAGGTTATTCTCACGCTCTCACAGGATTTCTCACGTTAACAAAATATAAAAATAAAATAATAAAACAATTTAGTATTTAAGAATCTTACAACTTTATAATACAATTAATCCTGTCCCAGCGTGTGTGCAGGGTTTTCTGGTCGCGCGACGAACGATTGCATTGTCTGTCATCGCATTGGCGGCACACAGTGTGCAAATTTCTCACCGTGCTTAACACACAAAATGATTTCTCATCGGGGAAAATCCCTCAGCACGCAATATACGCAGCAGCGGTGACGGTGTCATAGCAAAATGGAAACCCACATATTTTCCGAGCGATTTCATATTCCTATAATATCGGGACTCCCAGATAGTGATGATTTTTTGCTCCAAAAAATGATGATTAAAGTAGTCTGAAATTGCCTCAGATCGCACCACAGAGATTCTAGAATCCATTTTTCCCCCGGGCCCTTAAAGCCCCTGTCACACTTTTGCGTATCCCAATTCCTTATGAGTTCCTTATCAACAGTGTTCAATACGCAGCCGTACGATCAAAAACGTCGAATTTTTTTGGATTACTTTGACATATGTGCGACGCACATCTAGCAAACAAGTAACGAATTCAGCGCATCCACTGCGTATGAGATGCGTATGAGTTGCGTATGCAGTGCGCAAGTTCGCCATCTGTGCGTTTCTCATAAGTTACGAATAAGTACAATGCGCTGCCCGCACGCAGGACGAGCGGTACTAATTCGTGCAATACGTCGCTATGTATACGTCCCATATAGGAGGTCAGCGTATTGCCGCGTATGAACGGCTTATCCCTCACGAACACATAGCATACTCGTACCGCGCTCGACCGATGCGGGACCGATGCACTGCGTATTTATAACTTATGACCTGCGTAACAGCGTACGCAGCGTAGTTTTGTGCATGCCCAAAACTATCCAGCGTACTGGGCTGTACCATGCGTATGCCTGCGTACATAAAACTTACATAAAACGATAGAGATTCATATGAGGTGCGTATTGTGCGTACGACTGCGTATGAAAAAAAGTCAATGCGCAACTCATAAGGAATTAGAATTCGCAGAAGTGTGACAGGGCCCTTAATAAGCGGGGTCCCGAACCCCACGCCGTTTAGGGCTTCGCGCTTCGCGCTGGCAGGCTCCGTTGCCAAATTCTCACTACCTCTCACTCAAAGTAGGCAGCCCTGTAAAAACATTTTTTGAATAGTATATTTAGGTGGTTCTACCTACTCATTCTTAGTCCAATAACATATTATAAAGCAATTAAGTGACTGCACATTTATGAGGACGTAGCAATGATTCAAAAGGCTACTGTTATGCTCTAAAGTTGCGCGCCTTTTTCATTGTCTCCTGACACATTAAGTAGTCTTGCCAAACCTCAGTATTGATGAGCTTCAAATTCACCAAGTTGCTTACTGGCTCAGTTGCCCTATTAAAAGTTTTTGGAAAATCATGTGAACAACGATAACATTGTGATATTTAGCCCAGAAAATAAATATGGGGGAAAAACGAAATGTCCGTAAAATGGGCTAAAAAAGGGTAGGTGAAGGGTTGTCTAACGTGGGCCTGGGATACATGAAAAAGTTCACGGAAAGTCCCAAAATTATTGGGGGTGACCGCTGTTAATGGATCCCGACTTCGTCTCGGTCCATTAACAGCGGTCATCCCCAAACCCGGTCATTATCACGCAGTGAAGACCGGCTCCTCACACTGTTATTCCCATAAGCAGTGTTGTAGTCGAGTCACCAACGTCGAGTTTGAGTCCGAGTCCTGATTCATAAGCCTCGAGTCCGAGTCCGAGTCTCGAGGCTTATGACTTGGGACTTGGACTCGAACTAGACGTTGGTGACTCGACTACAACACTGCTTATGGGGGAAATGAGCTCCACACAGTTGGATTAGTTACACTATCATGTCACATAGAATCATCGAAGACTGACCACAGGATTGACTCTCATATTGTTTATGGAAAGGTAAAAGCAGATTGCCTCCGCATATTTTCTGTCAGTAGCATGGTCTACCACGTCTCGTGTGAAACAACTGCATCCATTCAGGTCTTCAAAGACTATCTAGACCAGTTTGACGGTTCTTTGGGGTCACTTGCAGTTATCTACTCCATGACCCTAGACCCTATGAATTAGCGGCGTTGTCATTACATGGTAAGTCAAGAGTCCGGAACCAATTGAGGGTGGCATCGTCGAGATCGACAATTCCCTGTAAAGCATTCGGAGAGCTAAGTACTAGACAGTCAGCCGAAATAGGGTCGAGTCAGCGGTTGCGGATTTGAGAAGCAAGCTGCGCTCTTGCCCCAGGCGATTGAGGCGGGCTCACGCTTTCCGTTGAAGGTTGCGTCCCGTTGGCTTTGAAGACGACTTATCCTCGTAAAGCTGGGAGTTGTTATTAGATTCCAAGGCTTCTTTGCATAGGTTGTCCACCAATAATGCGGAGAGTGGGTGCACGCTCCGGATTTCTCACACCCGTAGAGCTAGATATTGGCGACTGATATATTGCCCTGGCGCACCGACAAGCGGGTATGGGACGAAGCTTTCAGGCTGGTCTGATTTAGCTGTCAGCTTCAATGTGTGGTAGATGGGCTGATGAACTGATGGAGACCATGTAAAGGAGAAATGTTGGAGGCGAATGTGAGCGAGTGGTCGAGAGTTACGCCCAGGTTCACTGGTTCACGTTCAAACTTCAATTCCTTACCAATGGATCAGCACCCTTGATTGTTTTGTGCGCACTTTGACCAGCTTTACTAATGTAAATGGAAATGTTTCGAAAGCGAAAGTGGTGTGAGTGGGGTCTGGATAGTTGCTGACGCTAATAGTATACATAATGGTCGGATATCATTCATTTATACATGCACTGCAGATCAATGCACCTCCGTGTCTGTCTGTTTATATGATTCCGTTTCGCGTCTGTTCACGGCTCATTCAATTAAACGGCATTTCGTGTTTGTTCCCTTCAAAATGCGTATCTGTAGTACGGCTTCCTGCATTCGACAGAGCTCATTTTTTGGTACCAGACGACGCCTTGGCAATGTCGACAAAATAAGCAGTAATAAGTGGCACTTAAGTCTTTTTTGTTCAATATCTTGATAAAAAAAGGATGGTGTTTAATATCCTATATCAAATTGTTTACAAGTTGTTATTATTATCAACTCTTATAATGTGAAGTTTGCGTTCTTTTTCTGGTTGATACCAATTAACAATCGAAATATTTGCATGAATTTTTTAATGCCAATTTCTAACTCCTAAATAAGGCCTGTACTCTTCGACGGTATTTGTTTTTTTCACAAAGGGAAGCTCACAATTTTCGTAAAAAAAGGTATGCATTGTACGTAGCTAATAATTCTCTAAAACCCTTTGTAAAAAGTCAAATTGCCTGACCCTTCATTACAGGCATAATTTGAGGGGGCGGGTAAAAGTTTCGTAAGCCGCTTGGACTGTTTCTTTTTCCTGTACCAATCTCGCCGTACTGATACGACCGTACTTCAATCATGTGGCCTTCCCCCTCCCCATTTACGTTCCATTATACAAATGTATCATATCCCACATCAAAGTGGTTATACCTTCACATTCCATTTAGACGCCATTGGCTGGTTTGTTTCCCAACAGATAACGATTTTCCAGTCAGGCTTGTTGGTGGGACTTTGGGACGAAATGGCGTCCTCGAAATCAACTTCCGAGGTGATTGGGGAGGTGTATCGTATTACAAGTGGAACGCCTTGCAGGATGGCAGTGTGGTTTGCAGAGAGCTGGGTTTCTACGGTCCGAATATATCTTACGCCCTGTATCGCCGAGTAGATGATCCATTTTTCGACAGTGTTGAGTGCCGAGGAGATGAGATGGTTCTTGCTGATTGCGCTATCGATGGTTGGTTACCGGGCAAAATCTCCTACCAGGTTTTCGTGTCTTGTCAAATTGGTAATTATCTTGTTTTCTGTCCCTTTTAAAGTGTAAAGTAATACAATTTAAAACGAAATCTTTGAGAAGTAGCCCAGTGTCTCATCATTAACTTCCTTATCAATCTTCATATGGCCATGCATTCTCAAGGATGTTTGTCGCGGTTTTTTTTGGTTTTATACTGATGAAACTTTCTGTGTCCATAAGCAAAACTGTGATGTCACTCAAGGCAGAAACTTCAGTGTTACAGCTGCTTCAGCATCAAAAGTCGTCAGAAATTTAGAATTTTTTAAGATTGTTAACCATCTGTTTTGACGATTAATTATTGTGTCAGTACAGCTACACTATAATCAATAGTAGGCAAACTGCATGCACAAGGCTTTCAGTTGAGCATTTTTTTGATTCAGAATTAAATTTGAACAGTAAACCCTGATCTTTGAAGAGTGACTCAAAGAAACTGTGCCATCAGTTGTCAGAAATTGCACGGAGGATTTACAACAATGTTTTATTAAAAAAAAGTGCATATTACAAACATTTTAACCATAAAAGGAGGTGTCCTATTTTTCATACATTTCAGGGGAATGGGAAGTTGTACAAAATAATTATGTTCGAGTGTTAATTTATGGCTTGGTTCCTTAAAACTCATTGCATGTTGACCCGACCAAAACAATCAAATTCCTTGCAAACCAATGGGTGCCCAATTTTTAGCCACGTAGGCCTATGCCAATTTGTCAGAACCGAAGAACCAAGCACACGTCCTTTCCCATCCATATTGTAGATCTATCGCCCGCCGTTAAATATAAGGCATTGCAGTGTCAGACCTTGTCGAATTTAACTTAATGATGACTAAATTTCCAACAGATGACGAAGCATTCTTGACCGTTCGACTGGTGGATGGGCTGTCTACTACCCAGGGACGGCTGGAGGTTAACTTCGACGGCCATTGGGAAAGTATACACAGCAAAAACTGGGATGATGCAGCCACCAGTGTTGTGTGTAGACAACTGGGACATTACGGGCATAATGTATCCGTGCAACGCGACTTCTTTGGGCGGGGTGAAATGCGCGCATTGATTCCATATCGGTTCGACTGCAGAGGTGACGAGGCTACATTAACAAATTGTCAGATGAGTGATGGTGGCGTCGGATCATATGAAAGTTCAGTGGGAATAGTGTGTCACGCAGGTGAGTTTTGGTCTTGGATAGCATGTATGTAGTGGGTTAACTGGGCAAGGGGGTGTCATGGAAGTCTGCTCCCCACCCAATTCTGCCTGTACTCCATGCACTAGTCATAATCTGCACAAAAAAAAATAGCCTTTCATTGTTAAAAAATACTTATATTTTAGTGACTGCGGCTCGAACATTCAGGTCTGGAAGTTGTAAGATCACTTTTCACGCGCCATGCCTGACAACTCGTATTGGCTTATATAGGCGCCCGGCCATCGGAATCCACGACACCTGATTGTTCGAGCCGAAGTCCCCACCATAAATGCATTGCCTCCCACCCAGCGTGGAACTTTTAAGTGCAGTTCCAGATGTGTTGTTTTACAGATCCACATCCAGGAGTCCGACTCCTTTTCTGGCCAATCTTCTGCACTCTAAAAACAAATTGTTTATAATAACCAATATCAGAAGGATTTTAACTAATTTTATGGGGCAATATGTGTCTATTAAACCAACTTTTTGGTCAAAATGACCAACATACCCTTTGGTTAGCTTTTAACCAAATCTTATTGTTAAAAAAATCAACCCATTCATGGTTCGTCATAACAACATATTTTCTTGATCAAGCCCTACCAATTGGTAACATCTAACCTGTAGTGGTGGGTCATCTCAACCAAAGATTTGGTTTTCATCCTACTATTTACCGATTCTGATTGGTTGGTGGAATCAAATAATTTTATGGTAATGTCAACCAATTTTGGGTTGGTTATTCCAACAAAGATACGGTCTTGGCAACAAATGGACATTTGTTGAACCCCCACCCCCCTGTAGCATATTAGAAATGAATTAATAAATAAAATTAACCCTCGCGACTGCCCTATAACCATATTCCTGTTTTTCTTTATCAAAGCGAAGCATCATCAGATGACGCGAATGGACCATGAAAGCCCGTCTGACCGCCACAGGTTTTAGGTGGTTAGAAACAAATTACCAATAACAACGGCAATACAGATTTTATAATACGTCGACTAGAACCTTGGCCTACAAATGGTCGCAGCCATCACGTGATTTTTGCATGTTGTAATTCCTCACGAACATTAGGTCCTTCCCGAATCATGTCTCCACTTTCTAGTATAAATCATCGTGTAATCTATATACTGTTCCCAAATCAAAGAGTTGTTGCGGAGTAACCAGAAAGGGTTATTGCTTTGCTCCTGCAAATGAAAGACCAACAAGTCGAGCTGTTTAGTAGCCTTGACCAAGGCTATCAGCTTGTTCCCATTATGAGCTTGTTCCCGCTACCGCACACCGCGCGCGCAGCAACACAATGTTGTACTATACCGTTAGCCCCAACGACCCTTGCGTGTGCTTTGTGCGCATGTACGTACGCCCCACACTCACTTCCGCAAACAGCCGTACAGTAAGTCGAGCCGCCTCGACTTAATACTGTACGGCTGTTTGCGGAAGTGTGTGTGGGGCGTACGTACATGCACACAAAGCACACGCAAGGGTCGTTGAGGGTAACGGTATAGTACAACTAGTGATTGTGTCGCGGCGCGCGCGGTGTGCGGTAGCGGGAACAAGCTCGTATGGGAACAAGCTCATTGCCTTGGTCAAGGCTAGCTGTTTAGGCTCTATAGTTGTGAGTTCATCTGTAATGTGTTCGCCTTTTGCGGTTGTGTAAGAAACCACATTTTGTGCATTGGTTATCTGTCACCGCGCGCTGTTCGCGAGCACGGTGCTGTGACGCATATCGTTCATTGACTGAGAACGACAGTCATGTCCGATGTAAACAACCGAGTTTTGTTCGTCTTTTCTCGGGACTTCGCTTAGATATTAGGTTGGTTTCCTTTCAACAAGATGTTTGGAACAGGATAAGTAAACAATCCAAAACAAGACATTTTCGGGGATTTCAGGACCTAGTGCCCCTTTAATACGAAAACATTACGGTGCAACTTAGCCCAGGTGGACTTAGCCTTTAGTCAAGTCCCACGCGCTTACCCGGACACGTGACGCACTCCGGATGCTGACACGTAAATAGACTAGCACGAGCGGCGGAGCCGCGAGGGCCTTTACCATCTCGTGGAGAACGCTTATGTTTTTCTTTACATTTGTCTACCGATTTGGTAGACATACATAATGCATTACCCGTTGTGAATTGACCAATGAAAATGCAGAATTACTAACGTAAATCAACCGTCGTCTGGCCCCAGACAGCGCGCGCGCCGTGGTGCGCTTGCTGTTGCTGGTAACCGCAAACCACTGTTAGATTATTGGTTTATATTGCTTGATGTATATTACGTGAACAGATGAATAAATGATTAGTTCCACGAGATAGTAAAGGCCCTCGCGGCTCCGCCGCTCGTGCTAGTCTCTTTACATGCCAGCATCCGGGATGCGTTTCGTGTCCGGATGGTCCGGGTATAGGCGCGTGGGACTTGACTAAAGGCTAAGGTGGACTCCGTAAGTACCTCCCTACGTTACGGTCGCAATGCAATGAAGACGTAGTCCAGTCTGGGCCAGGTGGCACTACGATGGTGTCTCAAAACCGCCAAACTCACTGGTTTGATTGGAAACCTGCTGCTGCACAATTTAACGTGTTTTTAGATGGGATAACAATCGAGTATATTAGCTGTGGTGGCTTCTCTGGGCTCACATATATTTTGCATTAAATTTAGTCGGGCACCATTTGCAGATGGTGTGTCAATTTTGTAATTGTGCGTCTGGAAGCAAGACTGAGGGAGCGATGGTCGTGTATCTGGAACCTGTAAACACTTTTTAATTAGCGCAATATGTAAGTTAGCAGACTAATGACCACCCTGCAGGCAGCTCATGCATTATGTCGATGTCGCTGTATGGTCTGACGTTACCGTTCCTCTGATTTTTGTCTTGACTATATCCACATTTACCAAAGAATGTTCGTGTCGGTCGAGATCGTGTTGGGTTAAGAATTCTCAAGCTTTATGGCCGTACTGAGGTCACCTCAAGCTCCATGCCGAAGGATATTGTTTTGAGAGTATTAAAGGAATCGAAGCGTCATCTGCAACATCAGCCGACATTTGAAGAAAAACAATTGGGGGAAAAAACCCGCGTCGCCGCACCACTTTTGGGGCAAGCTCCATACCGGAGACTCTTTTTTGTGTGTTTTTATTCTTCCATGGCCTAACCGATCATATATCTGTTTTCATTCCATATACTTCAAGCTGACGATCACCCAGTTCGACTTGTTGGTGGTCCTTCCAACACGTCGGGGTTAGTCGAAGTTTTCTTCAATGGTTACTGGGTAGTCGTGTGTCAAGGCACCGACACTGGTGAACTGTACGACCGTGTAGTCTGCTCACAACTCGGTTACGATGGACCAAGCGTGGGCACTTATAGAGGATTGTTCACTGATGGGCACGGAGCTTTGGACAAGTACGGTATGGGGGATCCCCAGTGCGCTGGGAATGAGACTAAGCTGGTGGATTGTGCCTTCGAAGGCTGGGGAGTTAGTAGCTGTCCACACCGCTCTGTTGGTGTTGTGTGCCAATTAGGTATATGCCTGTAACATGGTAATGCATTTCGTTGTTGTTTTTGCTGCTTCCGGAGGGCCAGCCTATATACTACACTTTGCATTTGATGAGAACGCTGTAGCCACGAAAGCTAATGCCATAGGCCCCATATTTTAATTTTAGTAAATCTTTATAGTGCTATCTTCTCTACATAATGGTATCTAGCAGACTAACGCGGCTGCATACTTCTGTCATTTGTGACTAAGCCTGGTTGTTGTCTGGTGAAGAGAGCCGGGCAGTGCCATTGTAATAGGATTTCCCCGTAATAAGCTAAATTCCCCCAAACCCCCCAAAATACACAAGATGTATGAAAAGACTTGCAGCGATTTCCCGTTCTGAATTAACTGAAAAACATTTGATTCGCTCCGGGGTCAGTTTTACGAGGGTTGCTTTGTCTTCTTTAAGAATTGCATTCAGCCACCATTGAACCCATTTGTAACGACGCGTTTAAAATGAGTTACAAGTGAATGCTCGTCCTCTCTTTAAATACATAAATCTTCTTCATAAATGGATCTCACACTTTTAATAATATTATAATAAACATAAGACAGTGTTCCATTATTCTGGTCCAAGGTGATGCGCATCCGATTCGGATCGTAGACGGCTTGTCAGATACGGCTGGTCGTGTTGAGGTACTGTTCAACGGAATGTGGGGAGTTATATGCAGCGATGGATGGGATAACGCAGATGCCAGCGTAGTATGCCGGCAGCTAGGCTACTTCGGCCCAAACGTCTCCGTGACTCTTCCACTATACTACGGCTCAGACTTACCACTTCATCTTTCCAATGTCGGTTGCAAGGGTCACGAGGACAAGCTCACGAACTGTCCTCTCCGATGGTGGAGTGGTCCATGTTTCACACTTGCTGGTGTAAGATGCCAAGCAGGTGAGAAAACTGCCGTCCGATCAATCTGACTGATTGCTCGATCGCCTAGCCAACCGACCGACAGACCAACCAAAAACCGACTGACTGATTGATTTGATTTGATTTGATTTGATTTGATTTGATTTGATTTGATTTGATTTGATTTATTTATTTCCGTGCTTTCTGACACATAGTAGTAAACCAAATAAACTAAATATAAATGAAGTAAACAATTCAAAGGAAATAAATGAACTGAAATAATTAAATGAAAATTCAAAAAATTAAATCAATATAAAATCTGGAAAAAAAATACAAAAGAAACCACGGAGGCATTATCTTGAAGCGAAGCTTGTACAGAAATGCCTTGTGCAAATAATTTATAATCCGAAAAAACACATGGAGATTCACGAGAAACGTACACAATGACAAAAACATGGACTAAAACAATATCGAGACTGCAGCGAACAAACCAAGACAAGAACACACAAACACACAACTATACAAATTGTTGAAAACAATAAACATGGTGAGGAAAGGGGAGAATAAAAAGCCTTAGCAAATAGCCAATGAGATCAAAGGAGCTGCGTTACATAATTTGAGATTAAGGTCCTCTTATAATTTCGTTTGAATTGGCCAACGGACGACTGGCTTCGAATGGATTCGTCCAAAGCATTCCAAAGACGCGGGCCGTAGTATTTCAAAGTGCTCAGGGAATGAGTTGTGCGAGTGAACGGTAGGAATAAATTGTGCTTATTGCGAGACCTAGTAGAATATCTGTGAGTATCTCGGACTGAGGTAAAGAAAGAAGAGAAGGAATGAGGAAGAAGATTATTAACAAATTTAAACATAAAAATACCCGTGTGGAGTTGATTAATGTCAGTTAGTTTGAGCGTGTTTAGTGATGTGAAAAGAGGTGCAGTGTGTTCACGTGGGTGAGAATTTGTGCAAATCCTGATAGCGCGCTTTTGTATTATGGTGAGCGGATGAAGCTTAGAGTTAGTTGCATGTGCCCAGACGATGTTACAATAGCTAAGGTGAGGAAGAATAAGAGAGTTATAAAGAAGAATCATTGACGTCTCAGGGAGAAAAGAGGGGAGCTTAGCCATTACGCCGGTGTTCCTAGCTGTGACTTTGGCAATAGCTGAGATATGCTCACTCCATGAGAGTTTCTCGTCAATTGTGACACCTAAAAACTTGGTAGAGAAAACTCTAGAGATAAGAACATGATCGATTATAATAGGGTACGGATTAGAGAAAGAGCCAGATTTAGAAGAAAAAAATCATGTACTTCGTTTTGCCATGATTTAAGGAAAGCTTGTTTGCCCTGAACCAAGAAAAAACTTGATTAAGTTCCGCATTTAGAGAATTGACAAGAGACTGGAGATTGGGATCGGTGTGCAGAAGGGTGGTGTCATCAGCAAAAAGCGTAAAAGAGAGAGACGAGGAAGAACTAGGCAGATCATTAATGTACAGAAGAAATAGAAGGGGACCAAGAATAGAGCCTTGAGGAACACCATGAAGAATACCTTGCTTAGACGAAGAATAATTATGAACAAAGGTAAACTGCTGTCTGTTGGAGAGATAACTGGAAAGCCACTCATGGGCAACACCTCTAACTCCATAAAACTCAAGTTTGGACAGAAGGATAGAATGATCAATCGTATCAAACGCTTTAGAGAGATCGATGAAGATTCCAATGGCGCTCATCTTATCATTTAAGGCAGAAGTGAATTTGTCGATGACCTGAATGAGAGCCATGTCGGTGGAGTGCTTGCTGCGAAAACCATACTGATGAACGGAAAGGAGGTGGAAGCGAAAAATGAATCTGGATAGGCGATTATAGACAAGTCTCTCAAGTATTTTTGAAAAGCAAGGAAGGATAGAAATCGGTCGGTAGTTATGAATATCATGACGACCTCCAGATTTGAAGATGGGTATAACTTTGGCAATCTTAAGATTAGATGGGAACTGGCCAGAAGAAAAGGAAAGATTGAAGATATAAGACAAAGGACGAGAGATAAATGAAATAACAGATTTTATAACGGAAGGACTGATGCCATCAAATCCACAGCTATTGCTGTTGCTGAGCTTATTGCCAATATCAACAACTTCTAAAAAGTTTGTTGGTGTCAGGAAAAATGAGGAGGCGTAGGAGCCATGCAGATAACTGAAGAAAGAAGAGTCAGCGGGGGGGGGGGGGATTTTGCTTGCCAAAGATGCACCAATGTGAGAAAAATGAGTATTGAATGACTCCGGTATGTCAGGGGGACTGGTGTAATTGCAATTGCCGTCAGACAGATTATCGGGAAGATCCACCTGATTTTTTACTGCCTAGAATGTGATTGATATCTCGCCACACCTTTTTAAAACTAGATTTATTTACATCAAGTCTATGTGCGTAGTGATTCTTCTTGGCTTTTCGGATGACGGCCGTCAAGCGGTTACGGTAGACCTTGTACGTGCGGGCGTTGGCATCAGTTGGGTTCCGAAGAAAACGTTTGTAGAGTCGGTTTTTGTGATTGATAGAGTTGATAATTGACCGAGTAATCCATGGTTGATTCCTGACTGACCAACTAACCGATGAACAGACATACCAAACGACCAAATGAGCGGTCAGCTGACCCACTACTTATCTTACCAACTAACCGACCAACGTAGCCGACCAACGTACCGACCGATCAAGAGACAACCTGTCCACAAATCCTCTCAGCTATGTGTAATACCCAGGCCTCTTCCCCCAAACCTCCATCCCGACTAATCCCCACATCCTGCTCACCTCAAACGCACATATTTGTTAAAGATCTACAACAGACTCTGCTTTCTCTAATAATCTCCATGGTTTGAATTCATCTAATTTCAGAGGATGAATACCCTATTAGACTTGTTGATGGTTCATCCACTACGGAAGGTCGCGTGGAGATACTGGCCAACGGCGAGTGGGGAAGAGTATGTGCCGAGGGTTGGAACAGCAAAGCCGCCGGTGTCGTGTGCAGGCAGCTCGGCTACAACAACGGGTCCAGCATACCTGTCGCCAATAAAATCGTTGGGTGGCGCACAGGCGTTACACACCTAAGTGATGTGGACTGTAGAGGCGATGAAGAGAGACTGATAGATTGCTCATACCCTTCCTTAGGGGCTTATTCTGGGTTCTGTAGACGACATGGAACTGATGCTGGCGTTATTTGCAAAGCAGGTTTGAAGTTGTATTTTTTTATAGGCCAATCTAAGCATAATGTCACTTTACACTATACACAATGGCGAAAGCCGTTGTTCTGTTAAACCGTCATAGGACTGTTGCTTCGGATAATAACCGTTACAACGATTTCGCCATTGAATGTGGATGTATAGTGATGAAAGCATGCTCGGATTGGTCTATACTTCTTTAAAAGGCATAACTTATGTTGCAAAACCCAATCAGACAGGGACCGACAACGCAATCCATATGTAAGCCTGATAAATGTCAAATTCCGTCCCTTCCCAAGAGCTATTGTGATGGAAGTGTAAGGTGAAGATCATACGACTGCACACACATTGCTCACATTTTATTTTAGTACACGTACATGTAGGCCTACATTATTGTTTGTAACAAATCATTGCATTTTTGGCTGTATGCATTACGTTATTTTTTTCTCCCTTGTTAGATGAAGACTTTTCTATCCGTTTAAGTGGCGGCGGTAACCCAAAATCTGGTCGTGTAGAGCTGTTCTTCAAAGGTCAATGGAGCACTTTATGCAACTACGAATGGGCTGATTCGGACGCTGACGTTGTTTGCAGACAGCTGGGTTTCCTTGGGCTCAGTATCGCAGTCACTGGAATCATCCCGAATGGGGAGCTGCGTCCCTTACATATTTCGTTTGAAGCCTGTCGTGATGATGAAGCCAGGCTGGCGCAGTGCATTCTCGAGGAAACTATCCTTGGCTTCTATGGTTGCAGACGCGACACTGCTGCGGAGGTGATATGCCAAGCAAGTAAGATTTTAATAGAATCAAAGTAACAACTATCTAGCATGTTTCAATTTGTGTTAGGAAAAAATGTGCTTGTGATGCATCGTTTGGGATGACGAGCTCATATTTCAAAACCATCAGCAATGAATCCAGGTAAGTTTTGGTACTTGGAACCCTGAAATTCAGTGCATACCTCAAGCGCCTGCATTTGTTTGAATGTAGCGCGCGTAGCCCCGGCAAGTGTCAAAGTTTGCCAAGACTGGATTTCAAATAATAAATCTTGTTGATAAAGCGCACTCTAACGCCGTAGCGCCTTGGCCGCGTCTGTCATGGACCGGCTGCTTTTTAAGGTAACTATATCAAAATCAATTTTTGGATCAAGACCGTGTATAATTGAGATGGGATCCCACAATTTGTGTACGATCTTAGGCCGTGTCCGAAAACGGGCTTCCAGAGCTACGGCTACGTCTATTGTCAGCGCGTCCCCGCGTATTTTCAATGGGCGCAGACCAAGACCTAGCTCTAGACAGCTGATTCGGATGCAGCCTTAGTCTCTCAAGATAGCTCCTGGAGAGTTTTCAGCCTGTATTTTTATAAAATATATCCAGTCAATGAAGGCCAGTAAAAATGTCACTCGATCTTCAGCCCTGAGGCACATGGGAAACAAAGGCATTAAAATATTCAGTGTTTCACTCGCAAGCATGGTGAATGTATAGCTTACCCTATTTAAAAAAAAATTCATGAATTGATGAAGAATTTAATGTAAATCACAGAATGTTGGTATTCACATTCACACAGATGAAACTTTCCCAGTTCGTCTTGTGGACGGTATGTCCTATGCATCCGGACGAGTTGAAATATTCTTCAACGGCCAATGGGGAACCGTTTGCTCGCGTGACTGGGACTTGGCAGACGCCACGGTTGTATGCAATCAGTTGGGCTTCGACGGAGCAGAAGCTTCAGTCTACCAGTCCCTCTTTGGAGAAGGCACTGGCCCTGTTGTGATGAACCGTGTTCAGTGTAGCGGCAATGAGAGCAAACTGGCTGATTGCCCTTTTGACGGATGGGGAAGAACAGTCAGCAATTGTGAAAACACCGTAGGCGTCATATGCAATAATTGTAAGTCTCCAACTGTTGATTGACCATGGACCGAGTCCCTTATATGCGTTCATTTTCAGTCACAATTTGAACCCCGCGGTCTTTTTATTGGTCACGATCATTATTTTATTAGTGTAAGTTCTTTAACATGAAAAAAGGTCCAACTAATGCCAGATATCAAAATGCGCGTGCATGAATGAAAACTATGGGCCAGTTAGAGGTTTAATACTTGAACTTTATATTATGACGTCATTGAGTTAAAAATGTCGGTAAAACCAGCTTAAAAAGGTCAAATGGTCTTACATAGCATGATTCATTGCAGGTCTGATTTTGAACCTTTCATCTTTCATTTTACATGTGCTAAGCATGATTATAGGAACAATGAATTAAAGAATGTCGCACCCGATGACCATGGGCGTGTTCAGGCATTCAAACCGTGGACGAAAAATGCCAGAGAACAAATCTTTTGTTCTGGGTCGTGTACAAAACATATGGGAGTCGTCCTTAATAGTTATTACAAACAAAGGAGGGACAGTAGGACGTCCACGATTGATGGTTTGAATACGACTGTGTGCGTTTGTAGGCTTCATGGCACGGATTCATACTGCCGTTGTCGTGTTGGAAAAAGACTCTAGAATCCTGGGGATAAGTTTAGAGGCAATAAACTTAATGTATCGGCTAGTAGTTGTAGGATTCTCATTAACTTCCCCCCAAATCTTCCTGCAATGACGTCATAAGTATTGCTTACAACCTGATAACTTCATTGCTATAGACGGTTCCGGTGAAGTTTTTCCAAATCCCACAAGTTATACCAGATACAATTGTATATGTTTTAGAATTTTTTTTTTTTAATTTTAATCCATTTATTAGCGGCCTTTGGACAAACGTGCCCGCCCCCAGAATCATCATATATTAACGGACTCCCAACCATCGAGGTCATAATTCCTCAGGGACAATCGACGGCCAACGTGAACTGGACACTACCAACACTTGTCAACGTACCAGAAAGTTACGAAGAATACACGACGTGCAAATCCATTGGTGATGAGACTTCCCGTAGGCCGTGCGCGAGCGGCGGGTCGTTTGGCATCACATATGACCCGTGGGCCCGGTTCAACAATAAGACAGAGGTGGAAGTGCTAATGGTGGTTGATGTGGATGGAAATAACTCTGTCAGTCATCGATGTACGTTTTACATATCCGTCCGAGGTGAGAAACCCTTCTCCTCATTGTGTGCGTGATACATACGTCACTGACCACTAATTGGACTCACTCTAGATGCTACAGGTTTTAATTGGCCAATGCGTCTTAAAGCAGCTGATCCGCCACCTTGGATCCCCAAAATGTCACGTTCTCCAGTTTCGGGTTGGATTTTTGTTTCACTTAAAACAATAAGTCCCCTTTAGGCCTATTAAAATAATCAATTATTTGTAAGATGCTGGCCATCCTAGGAATAGCATTGTCCATGCTTATTTTCGCTTCCTTAACTACCCGTTAAAACCAGCATTTACTGCGCGTGCGTCATGTGTTACTCAAGATAGCAGAAGCTGCGTCAATTGCAATGCGGGGACATTGTCAGCCAGTCCAGTTAGTAATGAGATAAGTGACACGTAAATTGATTATGGATAGTGACCTACCCACATGGATTAATGGTCACCGGCTTAAATGGATAGAGCGGTGGGTACGAGCAAATGCCTCGCATGAAGTGCAACTTTGTCTCAAAATGTCATTTTACATCCATGTTTATGTAAGACAGCCTATGTACACCCCTGCCCTTAAAGTCAAACACCACCTGTCAATCGACGTAAATTGTTTTTCGCAGAAGTGTTCTTCACACCCGTCAGAGGTGAAATTAATCCCTTGCTTCGGATTCCCGTGGAAGGCCACAATGTGTCGGCTACCACCTTGGCTTACGACTCAAACACAGGTACAGTTTTCTATTTATAATACTTAATGGTTTTTCACACCAACACACAAACGATGTTTGCTTTGTCAATATAACACCGATCGCCACATGAGACGAATTCGCCGAAATTGGGACGAATTAGAATGCTACAAATTTGAAACATACTATGAAATACATTTTTGGTGGCTTTTTTTCGAAATTGAAATTGAGAATTGAGCTCGACGATGTTCTGGAACGAGATTAAAGTATCGTCCCATGGAATTTGTGTAATATAAGTGTTAAAATAACTGGGATATCTACATTTATTTGTTTGATAAAAATTAGGCCACTGTCAGGAGGAAGTGACGTATAATCAAGCGTTTGGCTCTGTCACATGGCCTGCGACTGAGGCTGGTGTACAGGTGGAATCTGTGCAGAAATGCCCACCGATGACGTTAAATGGTAAGACTTGAAAAGCGAGCCGAAGTTGCCATTAGACTGCTTCCCGTTAAATGATAACCAATCGAAATAACAATAGACAGTATAGCCATTCTACAATCGTTACCTGCGTGAGATATCAGAGACGGAGCATGAGCTTCATAATTGAAAAAATCAAAATGGACACGACACTAGTATATACAATCAGATCAGCTGAGCTTTCGATTTAGAGTGAAACTGTTAATTATCAAATATGAGAGCGGACCCTCGTATTGTGTTACGGTAGCCCTCAAGCGAGCAGCAAACATGGTGCTTTTATCTTTATTTAGCTGGTAGCCCAGTCGGCAGGAGGAATTGCTTACAAGGCAGTCACCAAGAAGAACCCAGATGGGATGATCCGCAATATCAGAGCTGTGATGAACGAGTAGGCCTACAAAGTAACGACACGCTCACTGGATGGCAAGTGCCGGTATGTTTAATACTGAATCAGCTTCAGTGTCAACGAACCGTGGTAAAGATGAATCTGGTAGGGGCCTACTGAAACTCTTGATGGGCGCCCACTATCATTTCAGGTCACTGTAGTGTAGGCGGCCGGAACCGTAGGCATCAAGCAGAAAAATAATGCTCAGGTCACACAAAAAAACCCAGAGAACTCAGGTAGAAAAAAACCCTGAGAAATCATGTGATTCTCTTGAAACAATTAGCGGCATTCCGACGCAAAATAATCGCAACCATGCTCATGTCACCCACGACGCGCGCGTCCACCACGATTTTTTTTACGGTGTTAGTTCTTTCTTCATGTATATGTACCCATTATGATTCTTAAATGCTGTTTTGTGTACATTTATACATGGCCTAGTTTAACAATTTATTTGTTTTGCTATTGGGTTTAATAGAACCGTATTTTGTTCCTGGTCTGTCATTCTGTCATTAGGTGTCGGTCTGTTGATAGGTCTTCGTTCCGATCCGTTGCTCATTTTTGGTTGTTTCTGTCTGCCCAAAATGGTCTCGTTAATTGTCTGTATACTTGTCACATTCTTAAATTATTTTTGTTTATTTTGTCATTCACTATTACAAACTTAACTATAGGTCCCTCATATTCCATTGTTTCCTTTACATGTATCTTTTCCTTCATTAGTTTTGTTCTTAGGTTTTAATGCTAATGTGCTTGTATTAATATTTGATTATTAATAACATTATTGTAACAACATGTAATTTTTGACGTTTTTTCATATTAATTTTTTTAATGAATGTTAAGCGCCTTGAACGTCATTTTGAAGGATTTGGCGCTGTATAGGATTACTATTACTACTACTATTACTGTAATAGGGCGAAAGATTTTGCGAACTCCGTCCACAATAGGGCGATACACCTTATTAGGGCGACATAATAACTGTCACCCTTTTATGTAAACGACCCTTAGGACAAGGAATTTTGCTGTCGAAAACCATCTAGATCGATTCCTCATGGTCCAATTAGTATAAATACTAAGTTTCGTGGAAAAAAGATAAGGTAAACTTGGGTTAGGTGACAGTTTAGGTATGTGCACTAGTCTATGGGAAAGTCACCCTATTGGGGCGAAAAGAGTATATTATTATTATTATTATTATTATTATTATTATTATTCCATAGTATAGACAGTCATGTGACTTCTGTAACAACAAGGGAATAAAGATGTGCTCAGCCGGTTCGGCTCGAGCCATTATCAGCGCGCATTCCACTGATGCGGTCTTAAATGTACTTGTATTCCCGTTCACAAATAACACAACTCAAAAATTATACATTTCCAACGATGTTATTGAACAGAACGCGGAGCGCCGGTGTAGTGTGCTGTAGTGTGGTAACCTTGCAGGATGTATGACGAAGTTGAATGCCAAAAGTGAAGGCCGGAAAGAAAATGGGAACAAAAAGAAAAAGAAGAAAGAAGAAAAAAAATCGGAACAAAAACAAATGCTTTTCCGCAACTATGCGGAAAAGCCAATGAACAGAGCATGGTTGGGATTATTTTTGCTTCAAGATCCTGCTTGTTATCAGTTTTGTGACCTGGGCATTATTTGTTCACTTATTGCCGACGGTTCTGTCGCGGTGCAAGAAAATCGCAGGTCCACCTAATTATAAGTCCGCCCTTATTGCATCCCTAGCAAAGGCGCCTTTGCTAGGAGGCACGCGTTAAAAGCAGTTATGGTTTCATTTAAATACAGTAATTGCTTCCACGGATGTGTCTATCAAAGCTTCATGGCTCGTTGATTAGTGATATGATTAGTGATTAATTCAAGATTTAGTATCCCTATATGCTACTGGATTTTTGCTACCCTCGTCTTCAGGTTTCTTCAAATGGAAGTCACGTGGCCAAACTTCTTTCGGAGATAACATCTTCGGAGATGTGGAGCAATGGTCAACTGTCTGCACAGAATATCAACACAATAGCTGACATCTTGCAGAACATTTCCAGTGCTGGTGTCGGCCACCCTCAGGTATGTGTAGTACAAAGCTGAACTTATGTATCAGTGAATTTTACTGCAATTTGAGATGTCCAAGACTTGACTTTAGCACACAAAAAGACGAATGAGTTGCTATTTTCAGATCAGATCGCAAGAAAACGATGGTTTGTAGCTGCACTTTGGCAAGTTGTCTAGACGATGCATGTTGAGGGATTTTAGCGGAGATAGATCGGTTGCACTGCAGCCATCTTCAAGGAGGGATGTTTGTTCAACAGAGATACGCATGAGCAGACCACCTGTCAATTCATTATTAATGAATTTACATAACAAAGCACACCTCCAAGACGGCTGCTGAATGCAGTCGATCTCCGGATCAGAGGGTATACAACTCATAATGTGAAGATAATTTCCAAGTGGTAGGCCGGAAGGAGTGGGTTCTGTTTCTAATATTGCCGTTTTCGCTTGTATCCTTTCCAGTCAATTTGCGGACCTTTTCAAATACTAAAAACCAAAACACTGTCCGGGATCCAAACAATTTTAAAATCGTTATGGATCAATAATTAGGAAAAAATGATAAAAGTGCTTTTCAGAACAGTTGTTGTTCCTCCAAGCAGAAATCTCAAAAATCTTCCTACATGTATAACACTCATTTATAATCGGAATGGAAGTGAACTTGAGGCCTCTGAAGAACGGCGTAAAAGTCATTTGCATTGACGTACCAGGTTATAATTTATTGACACATTCTATCTTCATTTTCAAAAAATAGTTTTGCTGGTCCCAGAGAGGGCCAGTCCTCTCTGCACAAGCCTGGTTCATTCACTGACTGACTGACTGACTGACCGTCTCCCCGACACTTGTGAATTCTCACTGACTAACTGGCACTTATGACTTAATGGTCGGGGAGCAGCTTTAATTAATTGGCTTGCCCATTTATGTATGTCTTATGGCATGCACTGCACATGTGAGTTAGTTACCACTACAGCATACGTTACCACTACAGCTTCTTTTACGAACTTTTTAGCCATTCCGAATCTTGGACTTGCTTCACTTGGCTAGCCTTATCGTTTTTAATGAAATTGTTAATCGGCTGATTTTGCACCTGCAGGTTACTAATGAAGTTCTTGACGTTGCTGATAAGATCATGCGTACTTTGAAACGCCGCGACGCATCTGACAACACGGAAGCAGGCAAGCTTGTCAGCATTGCACAGTCAATCGAGACTCAGGTCTCCTGGACCCTTCGACAGCAGGGTGAGGTCAGTGTCCAGAAGGATTCCATCAAAGTCAAAGCGGCCAACCTCAACTCCTCCGATGTCAGCGACGGTCTGAGCTTTGCCTTGGTCCGACTTCAGAACGGTCTACCGCCCTCTGATGGTTCAACGCCGGAGGATGAAGCCTTTTCCGGGTCAGAGGTCAGAGTTTATGAGAGCAGCGTCGAGATACCAGATGAAACGATTGCAGCCGTCAGTCTACCATCCAATCTGTTGGCATTGGTCGAGGCAGAGAATGGTTCGTATCAGTGGATGGGTTTGTATAGTCCGCTGACCTATATTAACTGAACTGGCTTACAATTTCAAGGCATTGAAGTAGCCGTCAGCCACTATTGGTCACCCATGACGCACGCGCAGTTAACGCGAGGTTTTTTTGTACACGAATAGTTAGTTGGATGTCTTCTTTTGAGTTAAAGGTAAAATACAACATTTGCAAACATCAAAAAATAAAACTACCAAGTGAATGACAGTGTAAAGCATCCTGTAAAATCATGGCACCTGGTATACTGTCATTTTCAAGAAAAGTGGTATTTTTGTATCAATTTTAAACGCTGGTCGGCCGACCAGCGTTGGAAAAAACTGGCTTTTTTTTCAAATACTGACCCCAATTGACCATCGCACTTGTTTGCTATCGATTACACACCAATGAACGGGTACAAGCCAGCTAGACTGGTTCCCTGACCTTACAATTCCCCAATGTATGTTAACTGCTCTGTTTCTTCTTATATGGAGTCAGAGAACCAGACTACAGGAAAATGATTGTTTTTCTTGGTTTTTATAGCATTTTCGAACCCAAGACATCAAAAAAATCAGTGTAACTATATTTGCTTATTTCCAACCCCCCAATTCCATCCATTTCTGAAAATTACGACAAAAGCAAATGATGTATATTCCCTTTAAGGCGACGAAAATAAAAATTGGTATTTTCTAACTTTTTTTTAAAGATAGAATGAAAAAGTCTATTCCTAGGACTGGCCAACATCCAAAGGATACTAGGTTATTATGGGAAGGGTTGTTTTAAGTGGCAGAACTAAACTAATCCCAGCAGCAGAACGGGACCGCGTACGTTCCGGCGTGCACGTGACGTTTCAGACACATTGGCTAAGTAGCTAGTCGATCTAGTATAGGGGTCAGTGGTGTAGACTCAGGGTTAAGGGCTAGAATTGATTTCAGAATATTTTGTTGACATTTTATCCATAGATACAATTTCGTTTTTATGTTACCTTTAGGCAACAGCTCACCGATGCACATTGCTGCTCGTTTCATCGCCTATGGTGATGACTCTCTGTTCCCTTCGACAAGGAAATCCTTGTCAGGAACAGGAACCCGTTCGGTTATTCCCGGTGCAGTAGTTTCTGTTGCTGTCGAGGATGTGGAGCTACGGAACCTGACTGAACCAGTTGTTATTCAGATTCAGGTAGGATGACGGGTAACCTACAGGACCACGTGGTATGGGGGGAAAGTCGTGAAGAGTAACAGCAAAATATAGCATTTTAAAAACAAATCTGTTATTAAATTTAAAGTGACTATTGTCGTCATGTAAAGCATTTCACTACTTTTTTAGAACTATGTATTTTGTTATAGGCAGACGTTTGTAATAAGGTTTTTTTACATAGATGTCTGTAGCATAGATATCCAAATGTCAGTACTTTTGCGCTATTGCTATTTGAATGGCCTTATTACAGTGAAAGATCTGAACCAAGCGGGTTGCCTCGGCTTTCCATTCACAACTTGCTCACAGTAAATCACACATTTATCCACAAGAGTACGGATTTAGTGGCTACGCGTCTTGCGGTAGCACAAGTGTCAATGGGAAGTGGATTTCGCTGGTAGCAGGCGCATATGTGTAATTGCTGGCCGTAGTTAGGTTATTCAGACGGGGCCTGAAACTCATTAAGACAGTTGCTAATGAGGCATTATCAGCCCAACATACTTACTTTTCGGGCACCTACAGAAAGCCACAAGCTATTATTCATCCAGTGTTAATCGTGATCTGACGAATATAGGGTTTGACTTGAGATTTGATTCTTGATTGTCTAATGGTTGACTCGATTTACAACTCTAGCTTCCAGTGATTATTAACGTCAAAGAGGTCATGTGTGTCTTCTGGGACTTCACTCTGAGAAACGGAGTCGGTGATTGGTCCAATGCTGGATGTGAGTTTCAGGGAGTGACCAATGGGCGACACAGATGTCATTGTAATCACGCAACCAACTTCGCAGTATTTGTAGTGAGTATATGTCCCTCGGATTTAAGTAATGTGGGATGTTTTCCTAAACATTTCTCCATTTTATGTTTTATACGGTTTGCATTGCTCATGACATGAGAAGAAATGACGACAGAAGGATGACATGAAAAGAAATGACAACACTTGGATTTTTTTATCCTGTTTTGAGATTAAATTCAATCAAAATGCAATGTTATAAATATCTGGATAAATCACTGGATAACGACGAAAAGAAGCGAATTATTATGGTACAGTCATGTGGTTGCGAAGGGCGATTTCTAAAGGTAACCTTACATTTTATTTTGAATGAAACTACATGCACACACATGTTCAAGTTGGCGGGTGAAATCTTTGAAAATTAATTTCTCCAGTTTAGAAGCCGTATCTTTATGCAACATTTGGGATTGGCCGGAATCAGTCAACCGTATAGTGCCTACGGCGCTTTGCTGAACAATGCACGTCGGTTGTGTCGGCGGAAAATCCTCGTCGAAATTTTCCTTGGAGATAGTTCTAGTTGTAACACTAGCGTTTGCAACAACAGATTGAGCTGAAATTCAGCATATGCTTAGGTAATATAAGTGTTGAACTACTCGTGAAATAACAACTTGGAAAGATTCCTTGAAATTGAGGTTAATACATGCATTTGGGGAATTTTTCGAACGATTTCTTTCAGACTTGCAGGTCAGATTTACCAGTAACCGGTATTGAAGTTTCGGCATCGATGACCAAGAGTTTTCACTGACATGAAGTTAAGAATGTCGTCTTCCGTTATAATTTTACAATTCAATCATACTGAGCATATTTTTTGAGAAACACAACGTTCAAAAAGGCCATGTTTTTGAGGTGCATAGATTTAACTGCTCTATTATGGCGTAATCGGATTAGCTTTGCCCAACAACACCAGACGCTTTACCTTGGCAACCATATGACTGTATACCTAAACAACTTAGAACAGCCGCTGCAGAGACACATCAATTCGTTCATTAGTTAGAAAACTATTAAATTCGGTAAAGTTTCAATACTGACACCAGGGATGATAGAGATGTATTGCTTTTATTTTGCAAGGAACTAAAAGACGAGTTGAAGTCGTACCGTCGAGCATTGAATCCAATCACACGGATTGGCTGCATTGCATCAGCAGGGATGTACGCGTTCATGCTGTTGATGTATTTTCCGTTCAGGTAGAAAATGCTAATGTACTTATTTTGCGAGATGCCAATAATAAATTAACAAACATTGAAAATGTAACAGCGGAAATAGTATCATACATAGCCCTACACTGTGTTCCACTTCAAAATAGACTTTGAAATAAAACTGTTTTATGTTACGTATAGTGATGTTAATCTTGTTTTGAGTTTCGAGGAGTGTCTGTGAGATTTTTGATATAAGGAACTAAATTAATTGTATGGGTTATGTATTTTTTTGTAGGAAGCTGCGCGCGCTGAAATCTGGCCAGATATTCGCCCAGTTCATCCTGTCGCTACTGTTATTGTACACTGTGTTGGTGTCCGGAGTAGAGAATGCGAAGGTATTATTGTATGTTGTATGATTGTAAGAAAAGGTTACATTTTCACTGAGACCAACAACAACTTGACATAACAAGTTACGTTAAATGTTATGTGGACCTTAACCCTTTCTTTGTGAATTTGAAATTCCAAGCTAGAGTCTTTTTAGTGTTTACCGTGCTCAACTCCGCAGAGTTGAATGAGGTACTATATACTGTAAAATCACCTAGAATTAAGACTGGTTTTTATTTCACCGACAGGGTTCAACCTACGGTTGTGCTACTGTGACTGCTCTACTGCACTACTTGCCACTATCCACAATGATGTGGACGGCCATTGAAGCGAGAAACATGTACACCAATGCTCTGACGAGGCAAACTCCTACGGATGGAACTTATTACATGATCATTGCGAGTACCGTGGCGTGGGGTGGGTATATTTTGATGTATGGGGAACCTTCTATCGTTTTACTGTCCAGTAGAGACAATAATCTACAGGGTGAGTCAAAATAAGCGGAACCCAAACCCCAATAATGATTATATTCCAAATAAAAAAAAAATGTAGCACCAGAAAATAATGACTGGAAAGCCAATTTCATAAGCTACTTTTGGAAGCAAAAATTAATAAAATTGCTCAATCCCTTCAAAGAATATGACCATTTTAACACAATGACCCTAAAACCTCTTTCGTCCAAAAATACGATTTCAAGAATCGTCGTCACAATTGTCTTCAAACATGACCAGCGATAAAACTTCAGTTTAAAAGTTTAAAACATTCAACAAAGTCCTTTTGAAGGCCCGTCTTTTAAAAAAAAATTGGATTTTATAAATCATATTGTTTGCCTTTAAATCAGGGTTATTGAGTACTACAGTTGTTGACAGTTGTTGAAACGAGTATTCTGTGTCATTTTCTTTGTTGTTCCAAACAGTCAGAATACACAATATATATTGCTCTTTTTGGACGAAACAGGTTTTAGGGTCATTGCGCTTAAATGGTGATATTCTTTGAATGGATTGAGCAATTTCAGTAATTTGTTCATCTGAAATTGGCTTTCCAGTCATTGTTATTTTTGGTGCTACATATTTGTGTAAATATGAAATATATTTTGGGGGGTTTGGTTCCGTTTTTTTTTTGTACTCACCATGTAGTGCATTGAGGACACTGGCTTATAGTAGCTTCGAGTAGGAGAGGAATTTGTGTTTCTATGAAATGAAAAGTGGCCGTAATTTTTGTTTTGTCGGCCTTAACAATATCTTCTAATTATGGGTGAAGGGACAATTGGGACGGAGAGTAGAGGGCTTCCATTACGAAACCTACAAGCAGGGGCGTCGGAACCGGGGGGGGGGGGGGGCAGGGGGCACTTTTCCCCAAGATTTTCGCAGGCCAACAAAAGTGCCCCTCTCTCCGTTATAAATGTGCCCCCTCGAGATAAAAACAAAACTGCCCCTCAAATGCACACGCATGAAATAACATTGTCTTCTCTCTTGTAATGCTAAACTATCCCTCAAAAACACAAGTATACACAGAAAACCCAAAGTGAATGATTTGACTCATTATCGTAAAAAATGAGTCATTTTGTCCGTGTAGTGACACACTATGGGTCAATGTGTGTCACTACACGACCCTTCTCGCATTAACAAGGTTGTGCACCTTCTCGAGATGGAAAAATATACCCCTCGAAAACATAAATATCCCTCTCGCAATAATAAATCTGTGCCCCTCTCGAGATGGAAAATTGGCCATCAAAGACAACAGTGCTCCTCTCGCTATATTCCTTCTCGAGATTGAAAACTGCCCCTCGAAAGCACAATTAGTGCCCTGCTCGCAGCATTAAAATTGTGCCCCCTCTCAAGATGGAGAACTGGCCCCTAAAAAAATAATAGTGCTCTTCATGCGAATAAAATGGTAACTGATGAACTGGCCATCGAAAGCAACAATGCCCCTCTCTCGAAAAAAAAATGGTCTCTCTACATAACTAGGTAAAAGAAACACACTGAGCAAGATGGACAACGTATTCATAATTTGTTCCTTGTCAGGTGTATAGCGAAAAGAACGGGACCATATTCTTTTCCTCCACTTTCACACCGACGGAAGGTGCCCCTTTTTCTGAGCAAGTGCCCCTTTTTGGTGTTTCCCCCTTTAGTTTGAATGCGTTCCGCCGCCCCTGCCTACAACTTCACCAACTGTCCCTGTCGGATCAGCATCAAATTGCAAATTGGATGCTTATCGATGCAAATCGATTCTAAAATCGAGACTTCAAGCAAATTAAAAGAAAGGACCACCCTACACTCGCCTTATGCATTGTACTTGCTTGCTTGTACTTGTTCCCAGTATGCTTCAAGCGTTCTACAATATTATTGACTGACAAAGGAGTTATGAAGGTGTTATATCAATGACATTGTGGCACTGCAGATATAGAGACCGCGTTGAGACCCCTATCGGAGTATTCCTCAAGGGATGCCATTGTAAAGATTTTATATAATAGTGAAATATTTCGAGTTGAACAATCCTCAAGGTCGTGATTTCATTCAGTCTTCATGAAGTTACCTGGGTTTTTTTCTCTCCCAGGGCTCCCACTGATTGTAACAGGAATATCGCTGATAGTTGCAACTGACCAGTACGGCACCGCTGATTAGTAAGAAACGTCTTTTGTCATACAGCTGGTAAAATCACTGCATGTCTGTGTTGAGATGAGATGAGGTTTGGTTCATCAGAAAATATAAACTTTGAAATAACAGAAAATACACCACAGGAAAACGAATACAAGAAAGCTCCCAATTTCTTCAGGCTTATTAAAAACGACGTCTAATTTGCTCTATAAAATATTTGAATTAATGCTATAAACCAACAGAAGTGAAACGAAAACGATCCAAGTAAATCCAAAATTAGATTGAAGTGTTTAACTGAGTCTTAAAGTCATTGCTTATATATTGACGGCTTCTGATGGACTCGCGAAACAAGAATATTATTGGGTGAGATTAGACGAAATAATTATGTTCTCTCATCTTGTATCAAATTACAATAAAAATGCAAATCATAAAATACATATAGTATTACTTGTGCTGGTGCAGCAAGTTCTGTTTGGAATGATAATGACAAATAATGATTCACTGAAACTTGGACTTCTTGAATCGCTCATTTCCAGCTGCTTTTTAGCTCCAAGTCTGACGATGTACGTGGGCATCCTCCTGCCAATCTGTCTCATTCTGGTCAACAACGTCGTCCACTTTGCTCTGGTGGTGCGCGTCCTGCGCAAATCCAAGAATGAGCCTCCCTTTTACGCGCAGATGACAAAACGCCTGGTGACGGCCGTGGGGATCTGCACTCTGACATTGGCTGCCTGGTATGTGGGATATCTTTCCCTGCAAACTGCTTCCGATGCCTTCTCAATTAGCTTCTGTGCGGTCAACTTGGTCCAGGTGAAGCATAATGTGTCTTTTGACTTTTGTAAACTCCTCTCCCCGCTATTTATAAGTTTCACCCGAAAAGAATAGCTTTTGCTCTTGAAATTGATGTTTTCTAGTTATTCACTTTTTAAATTAGACATCAAACAAAAAATATCCGCCAATGTTTAGGTAAGGAATAATTACTTTACACATTTTGAATTAAATTTATTTGCGGCCTAACTAGTAATTCAGTCAATCTTTTTGTGCGTTATGGGCGAAAAGCAACCCAGAATAAAAAGGTATATTCAGAGGGCTGAAAACGTCCAACAATATGCTATAGCCATTCGATCCATATAGTCTTAATTCCAAGACCTTAGTGTTTCTAACTTCCACCATACATCGATCCTCCAGTGTTTTCGATTCCCAGTGCTTTGTTTTTCTTGATTTATAGGCTAATAGCTCCCTCGAGAATCGATTCCGTCATATCTTTATTCAAATCCTGCCTTGATGAGGACGACGATTAAATTGTGCCCTCTGTCGATGATAAGACCAAAATGCATGGCGCTCAAAAGAATCGCGTAAAAAATAAAATATCAGATACTAATTCGTCTTGGATCAAAACTATTCGATGCATAGTCCCGCAGCTCAGTGGCTGACAAGGAACCAATCGAACTATTAAAACTAATCCTGCAGATATACGAAATGAACATCAATGACGTCTTGATTTGCAGGTTGCTCTTGCCTGCCTCAAAGTACACCTCATCGTCAAGGGAGACACTCTGTCCTCAGGCAAAGCCCATGGCGCCGAAGCGGCTGATGCTGGGAGCGAGGAGAACCCAGCTGCCTCCCCGTCTAATGTCCAGATCGCCCTGCCTACTCTCTCGGAAGCTAGACCCGAATCGGACGGCAAGGAAGACGGGGAACAGACCAACCTTGCATTTGATGCGTCGTTGTAAGTTCAGGGCGTGATCAAAGAGCCAGTCAAATTAGAGAGTGCAAATTGACCTCGCAAACCGGCGAGATTTTATGGAAGTAGACCTTCGTGACTTGTATCGTACCGATATAGGATATTCGACTTGTGCGAGGGCCTTTTTTGGATTCATTTCTTGACGAGTCTTATTCGATCAACTGCAATGAATAAGTTATGCAAATAAAACTCAAAGCATTACAATTTACTACAATTTAGAGAATATTGCAAATCTATAACCATTATTGAATACAATGCAGAATTTGACCTCATGGCTCAACTATATAGTACATATCTCGTACATATCTCATGACAATATTCTTAACAAATGTCTGAAAAGAGCAGCGAGGATAATCCTGAGGTGTGCATTCTTGACTCCATCAGGCGATATGTTTGCTATAATTGTTTAGACTTGAAGCTTTGCATGGCGTATGAGATCTATTATAAAATTTGCGGGTAACACCATGAGGAAAGATCTCTCTTCTTGGAAGAAGTGTGGTTCTGAAAAGAACCGGATGGTTGAGTGTGGCGACGTTTCGGACAGTGTGCTCTGTCCGTCCTGAGTACTGTTAACCGCCACTTTATAATTTAGACTTAATTGGATGCATTACGTATAAAAAGGCTATCCTTGATTACAAATGTATAAACAAAATTACTCCTCTCTATATGACAAATCTGTTTAAACCACTTATTCAGACTCGTGAAACAAGACAATCCACTGACAAAAGATTCCTTTTGTGAAAAAAAGAATGTTATGCCTAGAGCCTTGCTGTAACTGGTACAATCGTATGGAATAACTTGCATGAGTTCAGGAACATGACTTCTCTAACCTCATTCAAATCTGAACTACGTAAAACATGCAGCCAGCCTAATATTTCTGCATTTATGTGAGTATGTCTTGTTGTCGCTGCCTTTAGGCCTACTGAAAATACAAATATAAATATGCGCTGACTTAACTTACGGAGTTAATAAAGTTGGTTAATAATAAGGAGCCGGATGGGAATTTGCCCATTTTTTCTCCCAAAAGGGTTTTTCACCACTCCCGTCATCAGCGAATGTATAGAAATAAACATATATATTTTACTGAAGTCACAAAAAAATGTCCATATTTCTCGTGAAAACTTAAATCACCTCAGCAATGTCGTTTCAAACTGTATATGTTTCTTTGTAATGTTGTACACTATTTATAATAGTTGCTTAACAATCATGCAGTAATCTCGTATGTCTTCATTATATTTCATTGTGTTGTATTGTATTTGTAATGTATTGTATTTGTACATGGGTGTATAAACATTAGTAGTGTATGCAGGGCCCCAATGGAAACCAGTTTAAAACTGTTTGGGCACACCCTCATGGGTAAAAAAATGTTATAAATAAATAAAAAAAACTTGCTATCTGTCGATCATACACATTACTGTTACAAAAAGATATAGACACAGGAGTCTGTCACTAAACTAGTCAGTGTTAATTCGTTACTAATTTATTAAGTTGATTAAAAAGGTGTACGTGAAGTTGCGAGACTTGTAGGACAAAAACGAGATTTTGGCTAAGTCTCATGTGCTGGAGGAAATCGGACCTACACTCTGGATGTCATACATGTGGATATAGCCGTTGTTTTGTCCCGGTGTGTAATTTACGGTAATTAAAGTAGAAACATCGTTTTTGATTGTTTTTGTTTTTGGCCCCATAAAAACAATGACGGTCCAGCAACTTCATGTATGCCTTGTACATGTGTGCTTGAAATCATGGGGTTGGGAAACACGACAAAGAATGGCTTTCTCATAATTTAAGACCGGTTGTTGAATCTCGTACAATCATTGCCATTGGCAAAATAATAGGACTTATAGTTGAAAACGTTGTAATTTTCAGATAAATCTTATCAAATTTCATTGTTATAACGATTCATATCGTTGTACTGCAGTAACAATAGATTTCCAATACTTTTTTTGCGGGGGGTGGGGTGGAGACGAAGAATTAATTACAGACCAGTACTCAATTAAGTACTAAAATGTGTAATGTTGTGTTGGTGATTGTTAGCAGGACTTGTGATGGTTTATTTGTAAAGTTGTTAATGCATCCGTAAAACAGCATTGTATTTAAATGACCGAGTATACTAATTAAATTGTCAAAAGTTGTCGCATTCGTAACAAGTAAATTCTAATTTATTCAGTGTCAAGTCAGGTGACAATTAAGCCATTCAAATGCACTTTGGCAAATGCAAACAGAAGTTAGATAACATATTGAGATATATGGCATAAAACGTAGTGTCTATTTGGGATGTCCCTATTAAACTTGTACTGTGACAGTGAAAATGATGTTTAAGGATTTTCTTTTTTAAGCAGTTGGATTATTGGGGTGGGCCACGAGTCCTTTAGACAGTTGAGATCCAGACAAAAGGAGAGGTTTTTTGAGGCAGAAAAAAATCAAAAGGTTTACAAGTTATCTGAAGCGGGGTAATGTCCATTTATGTGATTTGGGAAATTTAACCCAAAAAGGGTCGGGCTATTTTGATCAGCTCTCAGCCAATCCCCCCCCCCCAAGATCTCGGCCATCGAGTGACGAAAATTTTTGAAACTCGGTACATGTATATGCATAGAACAACTTATCATGAACATACCCAAGAAATTTCATGACTATAGGTTACAGGGTTTTGGAATTATGGCTAATTAATTGTTCATATGCATGAATGGTAATTCTGCTCTGTGTACACTGCGCATATTGGAAAATTCAGTTTTCACGGCTCCTAGCGCTGGAAAATGTTCGCTGCGCGGTAACCCGTTTTCCGATTTTTATGTTTTTGGTATCAAAAGATGCACAAGGCTCGAGAACAGCTCGAAATGTCAGAGCAGCTTTGGGTCGCGAGAAAAATGTTTTTGTTTAAGCTATCGCGGAAAAAAGTTGGGGGGCGGATTCCGCAAATAATGTTAAATACTGTTACCCTTTAATGGTTAAGCTTTGTGAATCTTGTCAATGAGTTTCGTTCATAGATTTCTTTAATTCATCTCCTCACAGAGTAACGGCATCGAACTGCCCTCATACAGTTACACACAATCAAACATACTAACAAACCAGCAGGTTTAGTTTTTAAAAAAATGTCATGACAAGTCATGTGAGGGCGCCCTACTTTGAAAATATGCGACAGTCGATTATCGTTTACTAACGTTTTAGGCCATGGCTACTGATACCCCCCCCCCCCCAATGTTGACAAGAAATCGCGCAGGATGTGTATCGTAGCACATAATTTTTGCACAGATTAGTCCAACTCCCCCCCCCCCCCCCCCACCCCCACCCCACCCCGATATAAAGATCCTAGCTAGTTCGAATTCACGGTCGTCGCTGCTCATTTTCACAGACTATTTTTCGTCTCTAAATTTATCGTTGAGATTATTTAAATTAAGGGGGAAAACTAGAGAATGAGAACCTAAGTGACTTGCAACGATTCAAAGGAAAAACCGAATGATGCATGATATGACTTGGCTCCAGCCCTCCTATATATAGGCTAGGAAAATAAAATAGGCCAGCGAGACGAACGGAGATAAATCAAGAAGACTCACGTGGGTGACCACTACACAAAAAGGGCGCCCTCAGTTTTCACGTCTGCTGCATTCGCGTGTTTACTTCGGTAGCATAAAATGGCACGACAGTAGAGCGCGTGATGAATATGCATGACTATGACGTCACTCTTTCTACTGTCGCGCCGCCACCCTCTAGTGTCGTCCCACTAACCAATGATATCACATTTAACAAGTTCTCTTTCTACTGTCGCGCCGCCACCCTCTAGTGTCGTCCCACTTACCGATGATTTAACAAGTCCTCTTTCTACTGTCGCGCCGCCACCCTCTACTGTTGCCCCACTAACTGATGATCATCAAGTGGGACGACACTAGAGGAGGCGGCGCGACAGTAGAAAGAGGACTTGTTAAATGTGATATCATCGGTAAGTGGGACGACACTAGAGGGTGGCGGCGCGACAGTAGAAAGAGGACTTGTTAAATGTGATATCGTCGGTAAGTAGGACGACACTAGAGGGTGGCGGCGCGACAGTAGAAAGAGGACTTGTTACATGTGATATCATCGGTGGGATGCAGCACATACAGTGTGCATCTACATGTATATCTATCAGTACCGTGCGTGATATATTACTCATGAGCTTCTAGTGACGTCATAGTCATGCATATTCATCATGCGCTCCTACTGTCGTGCCATTTTATGCTACCGTTTACTTCCTGCATGCACAAGTCAGTCGTGCATGTTGTTGCTGCTAGCGCGCGTGGTGCAGCACACACGTGTGACTGTTGACATTACCAGACCGACATCACAAAACAAGACAGGCTTCATTTTCAATGCTGGCTGAATCCAGATATCAGGCACCCGTCATAAAAGGTAAGCCGTGCTTGTTTTCAAACCTCCATGGTTTTAAATTTAAGTTATCGTTTTGATCAACGAATGGAAACATCTGGCCATCAATGTCACCCTGCCCTGTCTGCCATGTGCACAAAATGACTGTGAAATGAGACTTGTCTGCAAAGTTTGTAAGTGTTTTCTCAGTAACTATACATGTACCGGTACTTCAATATTTGGCGATCGTGTATCTACGGGCCCGGTTCCTATTTAGTCCGAGTAACTTGGACCCAACTTATCGCCTTTTTTAACATTTTGGACATGGTCTGGCGATAGTGGGGTCCAAGCTAATACTGCGACCTGGACAACATCATCCTGTCACTGTCCCAAACCAACATTTTCCAACAAAAAACATCAGATTTCACCTTCAAAACGGCCTCCAAATTACTAGATATGCCACCTGAAGTACAAGTGGGAAAAGATCCATACTCGGACGTCAATTTATCTGCTAATTAAACATATTAATTGTCACCTCACCTTGTCATTTGAACCAAGAGAAATCCAGGAAGCTGTGTTAAGGTGAAAAAAATTTACTCAAAATGTGTTTTTAGAGAACATTTTGGATGCATACGTCGTGCAGAACTAACTTGAAGCAGCCGGTCAAAACTGATTGTAGTGGCTGAAAGACAGCGGTAGGTTATACACATGACATCAACAACCATGACGTCGCATGAGCCTGCCAATGATAGTGCAATACGTCATTATGAATATTTATTTTCTCATGAATATTTAGTTTATTTCAATGGATACTTCAAATAGGTCCAAAGATTGATTATTGCAACAGCGATCGTGCGCGGCCTAGCGGTTAAGAGTCTCGTGTATCAAGCAAGCGTCAGAGGTTCGAATCCCGATGAAGTAACTGACTGATTAATAAATAGAAATTAAGGAAAGGAGAGGGTGAGAGTAGAGGAGAGAAAGTGGAGGAATAACCATAAAAGATGTAACTTTTGGCGCTAGAAAATTAATTGAAAAAAGTGACGTCCGAGTATGGAATTTTTTCCCCAATTGGGTAATGGTGTCTGACCTCGACCTCATGCAAAGGTCGTGACGGCGCGCTTGTGCACAATGCACTGCATGCACGGCAGATTCCCCTGCGCCGCGCCGACGACTGTTTCCTGATGAAGAGTGCTGAGTAAGTTCGCGGTACGCCTAGGAGTCGCGCTGGCTAGCTAGGCGCATGGCTGGCTAGCCAGGCGCATGGCTGGCTAGCCATGCGCCTAGCTAGCCAGCGCGACTCCTAGGCGTACCGCGAACTGACACAGCACTCTTCATCAGGAAACAGTCATCGGCGCGGCGCAGGGGAATCTGCCGTGCATGCAGACCGCTTTCAGGCGCCGCAAGTGAGTTCACCAGACAAAAATTTTGGCAACTTTTGTGGTGAACTTTGGAAATTGAAACATTGAGAATGCTTCTGTAGTGGGATGCGGAGTCACGGTCGTGTCCCCTGCGCTTCACGTACATGTACATGTTTGTATATATTTACGTGCATCGACAAGGCGTTGTAAAAAAAAATGTGAATAAAAAAGAAAAGGTGTTCGACTGGTGGCAGCTGGAGCGACGACTGATAGCGCAATGTGATCGACCGACTGTTCAGATGCCGTTATTTACATGTATATACCTGTAGACAATAATTCATCGCCACCAAAAGTAACCAAATGTTGCATCTTAGTAATGTATGTACCCCAAACAAACATAAACATGAATAAATGCCCACAAAACATCAAAATACTTGACCACAGATATCTGTAGACCTAACCTCATTCTATGGCCGTTCACTGGACAGATTTTCAGTCCAAAATGTGCCTCTTTCTCTGTCTGTCATCAATCATGATTCATTTCATTATGGCGGACAACAGAACATGTTTTTCCACCTAAATCATTCTGCCAGATTTTTGGCCCAAACACTCTCTACATGTATAGATTGATTCCAGGAAGATGGATTCTAGACGCTAACCCCTCCCCCCCCCCCCCAAATGCCCTAAATATCTACATTGAAATGTACATTGCCCAAACTTTCAAAATTCCGCCCCTTAAGCGACTTCATGTACCGGTATTGGCAGTATTACAAATTACAATAAGGGATGTTCCAATCAAGTTCTCTGCACAAAATATTTCAGTAATAAAAGTATACATTTTGAAGTCATTTCAATGTGATTTTGTCAATAAAATCAATAATGAAAAAAGAATATTGGTTATAATGGGTGCGCTTTTTGTTCTAGCCTTTCTTGTTCTTGCAATTTATACAATTTCACTTTTTTCCCCGGTTGGGTCGTTCTATAGATTAGGGTCCGAAAGTGTGACATTTTTCCTGTCCCTGTTATTTGGTACAAAGTACATTTCGTAATTTGCCATTCAAGTATCATTAAGAATGACTTCAAACAATGTTTTATTTGTTGGGTACATGTTGGTAGTTTGCTATTCATAACCACTCCTGCAGGACAACTGCATTGAGGAGTAGGCCTACATACATACATGTCCAGAACTGTAAAGTCAATGTACTTTTTATAATGTACCGGGTACAAAAGGTACACAAATAAATGGGCCCAAAATTTATACAGGGTGAGTAAAAATAACCGAAACTCAAATGTCGGGACTATTGTTTTATTGAAGTTCAGCACTTTCACAATCTAATGTGAAAGCATGGGCGTCGCGAGGGGGGGGCAAGGGGGGGCACTTGCCCCCCCCTGGAAAAGCAAAAAAAAAAAAAAAAAAAAAAAAGGAAGAAAAAAAAGGAAAAGAAAAAAAAAGAAAAAAAGGCGCGAAGACAAAGTGGTGTAAATTTAATGAGTTGGGGGGGGGGGGGGGGCAAAATGTCCCTGCCCCCCTCTAAAACCGATAAATCGAGAATGTGTTGAGAAATACAAGCATTTTTTGGCAAAATTTTTTTTGCCCCCCTCTAGAAAAAATCCTGGCGACGCCCATGTGTGAAAGCCCAATTCATGAGCTTTCTTTTAGTACAAGAATCATTGAAATCACCTACATGAATGTACTTTGCAAGTTACGGAATTTTAAACGCAACCACCGTTTTAAGGTTCTGTCCACGGATCACCAAAAAGGGTGTGCGCTCTTTCAGCAAAACGAAAACAGTTCACACGCATTTCGTTTTGCTGAAAGAACCCTGCACCTTTTTGCGATCCGTGGACAGAACCTTAAAACAGTGGTTGTGTTAAAAATTCTGTAACTTGAAAAGTACATTAAGTGATTTGAATGATTCTTGTATTAAAAGAAAGCTTATGAATTGGACTTTCATATCCTAGATTTTGAAAATGCTACATGCAGAACTTCCCTAAAACAACGGTCCCTACATTTAGGTTTGGTTATTTTTACTTGCCCTGTAGAGTAACCCAGTTACTTTTCAATCTAAATTCATTTAAAAAAAAAAATGTTGGAAATAAAACAGGAAATTGCTAAAATTAATTTTAAAAAAATAGCAAGGTATTAATTCTTGTGAATTCTATCGGAAACGAAACTAAGAAATAAATGAATTGAAATAACAAATTTATGCTTAAATTATGTACGCGTATTTTACCCATACTTACCATGCTTACTCTGGATCTAAATCGTTCCAGGCTGGCAATAACCAGAAAACAGGAAAAGTGCAATCAATCATTCAGCATGCCGCCTGGCAGCTTATAATTTATTCATACAAATACCCACTCTAATGTATACATAAAATGGCAATGCCTCATTAAGGATGCATGCGTTTGTCTATCGCAGTGTAACTTGTCCCCTGCTTAACCTTTTTGATTTCGCTTTTTATGCCGTAGTCCATTTTATATACCGGTATGTAAAAAAAAATTAATGTGCAAATTTGACTATTTTGGGCGATATTGCAGTTTTCTGGTTTGGGCAGCATTGCAGTAGTTTGAAACCTCACACAGTGGTTTTTGAACAATCATTACAATCGAATATCACAGTCGATTCAAGTCCAGAAGGCCTATGCTTTTTCTTTGGTTACATAAAAAAAGATAGTTCACCTTTTTGTAGATAAAAATAATACACATAAATTATCGGGACAATCTCTAAGTATCTCTAAGTCTTGAGTAGTGAGCTTTTCACTCATAAATTTGGATGACTTTTGACACAAATTAAAACATTAATAGAAACGTAGCCTCATATATTGGTTTGTTAATTTTGTCTGTAACACTTTGTAGATTTTAAAGGGTCCGTGGCCAAATAAAGACTTTTTTTATAAAACTGCTACAGTTTAGTTCAAGTGCTCCAAAAAGATACTCACTTTTGAATGAAACATTGACCAAACAGATCGGCCCATGTTTAGTTATGGAATAATTACTTTGAAGGGGGAAAAAAACGGCCTGACAATCATTCAGTTCTCTGGGACGAAGTTCTGGCCCCTTTTTAGTATCAACAATGTTCTGACCAGGAATCAGTTGTCTGATTTACATGTAAGACAAATCTGTTTGCAAACTGCGACCACAAAGAAATTTGTGCAGTTTGCTTTTGCCCAGAGAGTTGCTGATAACCAAAAGTCAAAAACATGAGGTAAAAAAACGAAAGTCTTGAAGGGCACGAATATAAATTTTTAAAGGGTTCACGAAATGAATTTTTCAGCTTAGGAACATATTTTGTGCAACTTTCTACTGCTCATTATATGAAAAGTATTTGACATCCCTTTTTGGTTAATTTTATTGCCGATCAACTGAGGGTGCTGTTGCTGTGATGTCATTTCAGGAAGACACTGTTCAGTTGAGGGGTTTTCTGTTCAAATTGTGATGTGTGAACTCAATGTTCTCATTGAAAAAAATTGTGAGAAAAGTTTGTTCATTGTCTTACTGCCACATAACTGGTACATGTACTGTCGAAAGACCTAATCACCAAATGACATCAAACATTTGCTCATGAATATGGAAATTTACATTAATTAACATGCATGCATTTACCGGTACATGTACATGTACAACCAAAAAGCACCAAAATACCCTTGAAAATGACAAAAACAAACTTGGAAATACACGTAGGGTTAATTGGGGCACGGGTTTCTGCCTGAAATGACATCACACTTTTGTTCATGAATATGGAAATTTGCATTAGCATGAAACCAAAAGTACCAAAATTCCCTTGAAAATGGCAAAATGAAACTTGAAAATAAATGGACAAAAAACGTGCATGCATATTCAAGGATAGCATTTAAACAAATAATAGCATTGCCTTTTTAAAAGGAAGAAAAAAAAATTGTGGAAGGGCAAGTATAGTATAAAATATTGGGGAAAGGTCTTCAAAATTTCGAGGTCTAGATCAGAAAATCAAAAAATCTTGACGTGCACACGTGTGCATTGCTGGATTCCAGGGAACCTGTGGCTGCATGTAATTGAGTTGACCTGTGAAAACGAGAGATGTTGACCAATTATTACCCTCAGTCCGGTGCGTTTAAAGCCATGCTGCACTCTCTTGATGTCCTTAATCATGAGTGGCGTGTGGACAGTCAGGCTTGGTCAGTTCATAAATTCAGTGTCACTTGGCTCAAGGAAACCATACTTAGAATGCAGCAAATAAATAGGGGGCCATCAATAACATTCCCCTGTATGAGAGGTAAGGTACAAGTATGAAACTTGTGTTAATGATAATTTTGTGTACATGCTGCAGCTGCGTCAGAAATGTTAAGCATTGTTCCACAGCAATTTTGTATACAACAAGAGATTAAATAATGTACACATCTACGTGTGGAAAAGTTGAGAAACAAAAATCTATTTCCAAAAAGATGTTTCTGGTCATTAAAACATGAAAACATGATCCACCAACCTTTTTTATACAAACTTGTGTAAAACAAGGTGTTTCTTGGTAAATATGCGCCATCTTGTTCACGGGGCAAAAAGAACACTTGTTTTTTGGTTTGACGAAAATTTTAAGATGAATGTGCATATAAATAAAACTTGTAATGCTTGTTTTTATCAGATGTATAACATTTACAATATTAGGAAATATCTTACTCGTTGGGATACTCAAGTGTTGGGTTCACTCACTTGTTACAAGTCGTATTGATTATTGTAATAGTCTATTGTATGGTCACACATGTAGCGCAGTGCAATTTAATGAAACTTCAGAGAGTGCAGAACGTAGCAGCGAGACTAGTGTGTAGTGAATCAAAATACTGTCATATTACTCCAATTCTCCAAAATTTACACTGGCTGCCTGTTAAATATCGCATCTGGTTTAAGATTCTCTTGTTTGTCTTTAAATCTGTCCATAGAATGTCACCCACTTACATTTGTAATCTTGTTCAGTTGAGTGAATCCTCATATTCTCTTAGATCATCTTGCCAGCTGAAGTTACAGGTCCCCCCTTGTACTTCTAATAAACTCAGGGAGAGAGCATTTATGGTAGCTGGTCCTCAGCTTTGGAACCAGTTACCTGCACCCGATTTCATCAAACTCTTCGTAACTTACGATGCATCGCAGCGATGCGTCGTAGCTGCGACGCGTCCTGCGATCCATTTCACAAAACACGTCGTAAGTGCGATGCGTCGTACATGTACATGTAGGTGTATTTATAGCACAACTTGGTGACTGTTTAATGTACTTAGTCAGCGTACAGTAAAAAGTCGTCTGATATTCAACAAAGAGTCGTCGAATCTCAGCTCGAAATTTGTTAAAACGTAAAACAAAATGGCGGCCGTGTGATGCAATTTTGAAGGAAAACAAACTCTCATTGGACTGTATAGCTACATGTACTTTGAAATTTCAATTCTAATATTCCGGTCTAATTCATAATTATTCAATGAATTTTCTATAATTTACAACTTTACACACATTGCTTCGGGATTATAATCTCGTTAATGTAATGTTTATGGCATAAAACTGGCTTAGAAATGACTCTTCTTATTTTGCGACGACCACTAGACACGTCTTAACTTGCGACGTGTTTTAAGCCGTTGTCAAGGAACTTACGACGCGTTCAACACATCGCAACTTTCGTGAAATGGAAGATACGACGCGTCTCGAGTTGTGACGTGTTACACGTCGTAACTCGAGTTGCGACGCGTCGCAGCGCTTCGTGAAATCGGGTGCAGGTCACGTTAGATGCCAAGAAACATTGGGAGTTTTAAACGCGAGGTGAAAACCTTTTTATTTCAGAAGGCTTTTTATGTGTAATTGTGCATTTGGTGATTTTTAATGGTTCATTTGAAATTTAGATGTTTAGCCTGTAAATTGTGATTGTATAATGGTTTTACTCAATAATGGTGTAGTATTGTAGTGTTGGTTAAAATAGTACGGTTTTATCCTTTAAGTAATTTGTATTGTATTGCGCATTAGAACATATGTTTATGCATTTTGCGCAATATAAATGCCATTATTATTATTATTATTATTATTATAATTGTAGGTCTACATGTACCAGGAGGAGTTCTGTGTTTCTGAAGTTGCATGTTCTATTTTAATTAACAAAAGGATCTATACGATTATCAAAAATCATAATGGATCAGAAAATAAATATCACACAACATCGTACATGTACATGATGTATGTATACTACAGCATATGTATACATGTAGTGTGCACACACATACATACGTACAGTGTTATAATGCAGATTTTTTTGAAAATTACATGTACACGTACATGTACATGTGTATGTATCATGATAAAAATGTGCGCTTCTGTAGCTTTGTACATGTACAGTAGTACTGCTATACTGGTGTGTCTTTCAGAATATGATATTCACATTTTCAAGTTGATTAGGCCTACTGCATTTTTTTCTCACTAAAAATAAAAATGTTGCAAAAATGTATGTGTGCAAAATATCTGCTTATAAAGTAGGCCTACCCCATAGTACAGTGAACAACAAAAGTACAAATGTATCATTATTTAGTATTAAATTTCAGGTGAATTACGCATGTAACTTGTACACTCTGCAATTATGTACTCCCTAGTGTAAAATTACACCTGTAAGTACCTTCAATCAATTGTAGCCAATTTTGATGATACATGAGCCAGCCGACTATACACCCAGACATCACCGGCCACACAGAGATCTATTTATTTTTACGAGCCTGGAAATATGCAAAATCAAGATGAACTGGATGTATCCATGGTAACCGCGGTTCTATGACCCCCTGATTACTGGCGATCTGTTTGCAAGTGCCAATCGACCTTTTTGTCCATGTCAACCATATTTAGAAAAAAATTACACTGCCAGGGTTTTTACACAAAAAAAGATCAATACTTAGTGTATGTATTCACTCACATTACATTGTGCTGCTTAACTCTTAACGCTGTTGCACACTCATAACTGCGCATGTTGCTCTGATCACTTTATCTAATTCCCACTCAAAGTCCACGTCGTGCAGTCATTGATCTGTGATGATTTATAATGGTAGCTCCTCCCATCCACGCGACGCACCAATAGAACCCATTCAATGTAGCCACGCGCCTTGCCTCACTTGCTTGGGTAGGGAGTGAATAGACAAGAGGGATTATCTCTGTGATTGTATGTGTGTATGAGCAGGGCATTTGGCTGTGCAGGCTTTAATGTGCATTGCCATGAGGAGTCTGGTTGTGTCTGGCTTAAACCGGAGGCGTTTTCTGAGTTGAATTGTTGGATAGTATCAAACCTGTTCTGGGGTGAGACAGTAAAAAGACTGATATCCTAAACCCTTTTGTTGTCATTGCTGCGAGTGAATTTTCCCGCAGCGCTTCAAGGCGGCTAATATGAACGACGACAAAATAAACAAGCGCTCGCAGTCCAGTGCTAAATCATCATTATTGATGGCAGGCTGCCGGGCCGTTGTGCGTGTGTAATGTCCGGCCGACGTCGCTACCTCGCGCCCTCGTGCTAATTTGCTTGTTCTCATATTTTGTATCCTTGGTCATCACTTAGGGAGTTCATGGATGGAGCAGCAATTGCTGCGAGTAGCTGCAGCGCCGCGGTGGAGGATGTTGAGTTGTGGTGATGACGCTGATGGATGCACTAACGGAGGCCCTCTGCTGTACTACCCACATATGACCTCACCGTGGGATGAGAACGAGTAGCGGCGTAACCCTCTTTGGATTACGCACCAAGACATCTTGACTCCCCCTCCCAAGTAAACTCACAAGCACATTTAATCACAGTTCTAGCCGTTCCAGCCACCACCGCCAATTTGTGCACAACCCACGCCAGCCACTATGCAGAAAGCCGTCCGCTACGAGGAGACTCAACTCCTCCACCTTGCCACCAGGGCTAAGACGGACCACATGATCGCCGGCAACCTCCAGAAGAAGAGCTCGGATACGGTCAAGTGGAAGCAGCGCTTCTTTGCCCTCTACCAGAACCTCCTCTTCTACTTTGAGAGCGACACGTCCCAGCGACCTTTGGGCTGGATTTTCCTGGAGGGTTGCTACTGTGAGCGGTTGCCGTCAACTCGAAACAGTAAAGAGGAAAATAAGGTCAGTTTGTATCTTGGAATTTTTAATTTTGATGGGTGTACCGGTACATATAGTGGAGAGTGTATATTTCGCTAATTCACTACTCCATTTGTTTTAAGCGTCAAGTTCAGTAATCTGGGTTTTTTCCCTTCTGTTAATTAACACTATGTTCATTTATGTGTACATTTCATATCAGATTATTAATAAATTCCCGAGACAGTGTACCAATTCCTATTGGTCGAGAGCCTGTCAGGTGGGTGATTTTAAACCGCTGGTAAATCACCGCTGTTGTTGTTGAAAAAAATTGTTGTGAATTTGTGAATTTTTGACTTGTAATTGACTTGTTGACTCAGGCCATTATCTGCGACTAGGCACCTAGCCGGTTTTAAACATACTTTTTTTAAAACCAGCCAAGCAGATGGTTTTGATGTCCTGCACCGGACATGAGACTGAGCGTTGGACGTTGCAGTTCTCATTGCGCAAAGCTACAATGTAGCACGCCGGCAAGTTCCACAAGCGTGCGCAACACGCGATGAATGCAGTGCTACATGTAGGCACCTAGCCGGTTTTAAACGTACTTTAACCAGCCAAGCAGACGGTTTTGATGTCCTGCCGGACATGAGACTGAGCGCTGGACGTTGCAGTGCTCATTGCGCAAAGCTAGCGTGCCGGCAGGTTCCACAAGCGTGCGCAACACGCGATGAACGCAGTGCGAAATCACCCTCAGTGTGTGACATGCGTTTTTATTGTCCAGACACATGGCCGTCCTAGACCAAGAAATTACATGTACATTTTGTACAGTAGCCAAGTACACAAGATAACAAATGTACAATGTACATGTATTCCCTTATATACATTATGCTTGATATTAAAGGGAATATACAACATTTGCAAACATCGAAAAATAAAACTACCAAGTTTTTGCGAAATACCTTAATAGGATGTTGGTAAATGACAGTCTAAAGCATCCTGTAAAATTATGGCACCTGGTATACTGTCATTTTCAAGAAAAGTGGTATTTTTGTATCAATTTCCAATGCTGATCGGCCGATCAGCGTTGGAAACAACTGGCTTTTTTTTCAAATACTGGACCCAATTGACCATTGCACTTGTTTGCAATCGATTACAAACCTATGAACGGGTACGAGCCAGCTACTGTAGACTGGTTCCCTGACCTTACAATTCCCAAATGTATGTAAACTGCTCTGTTTCTTCTTATATGGAGTCAGGGAACCAGACTACAGGAAAATGATCGTTTTTCTTGGTTTTTATAGCATTTTCGAACCCAAAACCTCCAAAAAGTTAGTGTAACTATATTTGCTTTATATTTCAAATCCCCCAATTCCATCCATTTCTGAAAATTACAGCAAAAGCAAATGATGTATATTCCCTTTAACTCTGGTTTGTTGTTTGAAAGACAGCATAAATTTGCATTCAATAATCACACCAGTACATGCTGATCATTTGATACCGGAAAGTCCTCAATTTCTAGTCATATTGTAATCACATGCAGTTGAATAAAATAACTGCCCCTAGCAAGCCAGCCTTGTCTTTGAATCAAGATGTTCATTGCGCCCACTGGCTCCCTATGCAAGGCCCATCAATTATTCATCTGGCAAGGGCTGGATATTCTGAATGGTTATGGAGAGATGACGGATTTATGGCTGATGACTTTATGAAAAATTGAAAAAGGTGAATTGGTCAAATGAAACAGATCTGCATATGAGCATTTGACCATATCTGTTATTGCTAAGTGGACGATGGGATGCCAGGGTATAAAATTCCCCCCCCCCCCCAACAATAAAAAAGAGAACAATAAAATTCTGACCACCTGGTTTTTTTTTTTTTTGGATCAGGAATCAAGATGTACATGTACATAAAATGGGTGAATGTTGCGCCCTTTACTGTGATAAGCAACTATACATTTTGTAACAGATACATACATGTACATCATGTGTACGTTTGTTGTATCATTGCTGAGCTTGCGTAGAAAAAAAATATCACAATTAAAGGGAAATTACAACATTTGCACGCATCGAAAAATAAAACTACCAAGTTTTTACGAAATACCTTACAGGATGTTGGTAAATGACAGTCTAAAGCATCCTGTAAAATTATGGCACCCGGTGTGAAGTCATTTTCAAGTAAATGGTATTTTTGCATACATGTACATTTCCAACGGTGGTTGGCCGACCACCGTTGGAAAAACCTAACTATTTTTCAACTGCTGCTCCAAATTTACCATTTTTTCTTCAGTCCAAATTTTGTTTCCTATTGGTTGCATGTTCATGAATGGGGACAGGCCAGCTAGACTGGTTCCCTTACCGTACAATTTTCCGGCATCTATAAATTGATCCATTTAATTTTCAGTGGAGTCAGGGAACCAGACTACATGTACTTGAACATTTTTGGGTTTTTTGGTTTTTCCAGCATTTCCGAACACAAAACTTCAAACATGTCAGTGCAACAATAATTTGATCTATTATACTAACCCCTCAAATAGTTCATTTCTGATAATTAAAGCAAAAGCCAATGATGTACATTCCCTTTAAGTGACTGATACGTGTACAGGTCACAGCCACTTAATCAGTAATCTCTTTGGAATTGGCTGGCGTTTCAAATCTGATAAAATTTTACATAAATTTCCATTGTAGTCTTCAACAAATTCTACGGTACAATCAGTGACTTTCATGGAATCATGCGTGGGGAAATGTAGCTACAGTTGAATATTTGGTTTTTGATCTTCACCAACATCATTTTATGTCCTGTATCAGTGCTCTCCACAGTCTTGAGAGGAAATAAACTAAGAATTTGAATATTGTAGTGTTTTGGCGTACTGCATTTGCCATGCGTGCACAGAAAATATTTGCTGAGGTGATTTTGTGACTACATGTATAGTAAATTTTGCACAGATGTAGAATTATTTTCTCTAGAGTAGTAGAGTTTCATGACAAAGCTTTTAGTAATTATTAAAAGTATTTGGATCTCGGGTCATTCTATAAATCAGGGGTCCAAGAGTGTGACATGAGGTTGGAATTTGAAAAGCATTACAACATATCAAAAATGTTAAGATTTATTAAACTACTATCTGTGTATTCCTAATAAAAAAGAAATTATTCAAAAAAATTGTGTACAATGTACACATATTTTAACACACCGTGTAAGTGGATGCCAAAAAAACTGATCAATGTAACAGGGACACCAAAACTGACATCCATTACTATGTAAGTAATTTAGCATTTAGATTTTTTTTTTTAGTGCACTGCTTCATTGCATAATTTAGATTTTGTTGTTAAAGAATTGGTTTTGAAAAAACAAAACAAACAAACACATTTTAACCAAACTAAAAGCTGCACTGAAATTTAATAGGAGATACTTCTGTTGAACTGTCTAAAGCCGCGTTCGCAAATGATTGGATTTAATTATCGAAAAGGTTACCGTGAGTGATTGTTAAAGTTGCAGCGTCCGAACATATATGTAAAACCTACTGATTGGGACCGTAACACTTACAACCGACAATTAATTGACATTTGACAATTTGGGAAGTTTACCGGTTGTCCACACTGGACTTCAGTTGGTTCATTTCGCATTCGTATTCACGTGTCCAGTGTGAACTGGCCTTATAGTAATATTTTACCCCTTAATGGCACCCAACTTAAGAACTACCGGACACATCTACTACATGTACATGTACATGTACATGTACTGGCACAAGATTGGCAACAAGTGGTCACCCATTGCATGTTGTGTTACCGACCGGTAAAAGACCAGCCTGACTGTGGAATTCTCTCCCATCTTCAGTATTCCCATTGTTCACTATTTGATGGTATGATACGGCCCATAAAAAGACCTTTAAAAAAATGAAATGCAAATTTATGACCTTTAAATCAGATGTTCTGTGTACACTGACGATCATTTCCGATAGTTGCAGGCAGCAGTCTTGATACAACTTACAATCGTTGTATTGTTCCATTTCCTTTTGATATCAACCCTGATTTTCAACTCTGTATCATTTAGTTTTAATAGGCCTACATGTATACATGTAGATTGCTTATAAAAATTTCAGATGAACCAGTGCAACCATATTTGTGTTGTTTTCCCACTTTCCACATTTAATTTTATTCACTTCACTTTTCTTGTCGAGGCACGCTATCAATTTTATCACGAAGGCCCCCTTCAATGGCAAAAGCATTGTGCTAGCTATTGTTCAGATAATTTGTCATGAGGCAGTTGCCTCATTGCCGAATTTCAAATTATTACTAGCATTTGAGGCTCTCAGTGCTAAACCATAGGGCAAATTGAGGGCCCTTTTTTTCTTAATCCTCTCACAAAGGAGCTAGCACATTTCAACATACATGTAGATCGTTGGTTTTGATACTAATTTAAATGATTCAATTAAATTTGTAAGCAATTTGTCGCCTGAACTGACCAGTCATTGTGTGATGAAACAGCGTTAAGTGGAACCCATTGAGCAATAAAGGAAGTCGTCGTTGATGGTTTCCATTAGACATTAATAGCGAGGACAATACAGGACATTTTCAATATCAACATCAAACCCTGAGACCACTGGATTGGCAATTGATTTGAATGTACAGGTGGAGCAGGAGTGCGCTTTGTTCAGTTGCTTTCGCCAGACGAGTCTTGTACTTTGGACCTGGGGAAAAAAATGAAGAGAATTGAAACCTTTTTCTTCCCATTAATTTGTTCTGCATCAGCTGCAGCATGCATCACTGTCTGTAATTGGCAGCCCTGCAGTTTGTGTTTAATTACTCGATGATAAAGTGTATTGTGTTTGAGGACCAAAACAGTTAACAGACTGATTTGCTATTATACATGTTATACGTTTATTGTGAGCCCCACGCATCCAGCACAGTCATGGGGCTGATATGTGTGGTGCACGTGTGCACAGTGAATTTACGCAAGATCCAGGGTATCAAAATGGTGTGTTCCCAAAGTTGACTCACTCGAGTTGTATCATATAATAAAAGTTGTGTCGAGATTTGAAGGTTTGCATGGTGGAA